GAGAGAGAGACAGAGAGACAGAGAGACAGAGAGAGACAGAGAGACAGAGAGAGAGAGAGAGAAATCTTTCTTCTCGTGGAAACAAGTTTCTCTACATATCAAAGTTTCAGAGGAAAAGCCGTCCAGGCAGCAACTATCACAGCAGACAGTAAAGTCTTTATTCCCTGCAGCAAAGCCGCAGACATCAGCCAGGATCAGTACGTGATGTCACCGTCACAAAGAAGCGCTTCTGCGGGCTGCACATCCAGGTCCATGTGTGTCGGCGGCGTCACTTACTGAAAATGTGGCGTGTGTGGAAGTTTCGGCACTACTCAGTCAATAAAAGAGCTTTGATCTGATTCAGAAAACAGCGACGCTGCCACCAAGCTACTGAGAAAGTAGTTCAACTAGTAACTAGTAAGTTTATTTCGTGCGCAGTCAGGGGCTTCACCAGGTTAGTCGTGTCGCCGCTCTTGGCAGCAGTTATCTTACGTCGCAAATGTCGCATCAAGCCCGGTGCTCATTACAGTTCTGGCTGATCGCTGTGTGATGAAATATAAAATAATTGCTGGTCTGACTCCCTGCGCACTTTACGGCAGAGATCGAGGATACATCAGTGACCTTTGACCTCCAGAGCGCAGCAGGTTCGGGTTTACGATCCATCGGTGACCTCTCACAGCACTTAGCAGCTGGAGATGTTAAACCCACAGAGGGCCCACGGAGGAGACGCCGAGCGCAGAGCTGAGTCATTTAACCTCCGGGGTCCTTCCGCCCGACGTCTGTTACTGCCGGGGGCCCTTTACAAACCCTCCGGGAGCTCGGCTGCTTGGCGCTCTCCTCCCGTTTGGCTCGTGTTGCTGCACCAACACTGCTGGTGTTTACTACTGATTACACAAGCCGCCGTCAGGTTCTCCTCTTACTCCTTTTTAATAAATCATTTGTTTCTTTGAGTCACGGCCGTGCGGAGCTGGAGCAGAGCGCCGCAGACTGCTGCTTAGAGCGCGACGCTCTGATGGCAGAGGAAAGTTCAGGCTCTCATAAAGGAGAGGGAGGTTTGTTTCTCCGTTTCGATTGCAGAGGCAAGGACGACTCTGAAGACACTTTGCTGCTGGCAGGAAAACCGAACTAAGAAATCAGTGAAGGCTGCTGGACTGAACACGGGAAAGAAAGGGTTAACCAGTCGCACGACTGCGCTGACTAAACATTTCAGTCGTTGGTGTTTTAGTCTCTGATGTTGATGTTTGACAGTTTGAACAACGTGGAGCAGTTTAAAAGTAACGATTAGTCAACGTCATCGACGATTATAAAAACTGCTTAAAGGATGGTCTTCTTCTTCTGGTTGTTTATATTATACTCAGCGTCTGCTACGACTGTAAAACTGCTCACCAAGAAGACGCCTTCAGAGAGAGAAGCTTTTATCCGCTCTTTCATCTCTAAATACACGTTTGAGGCGAGAAATCAACGTGTAGAACTTGAATATCGGCAGTTTTAGCAAAGTTGATGGCGAATCGAAAATGTGCACAAACGTTTTCGGGTTGAGAAGCTCCACGAGCGGCCGCGAGGTTAGCGGTGGCAGGCGGTCCCGCCCACAGGGCGCCCTGGTTACTCAGACCATTGCGAGATAGTTTCACTGCTCGTACCGCTGCTATTCTGACCGTCTGAGGAACGGTTTAAAGTAAAGAAACATTCTGCACTACCCCATAATAAACATGCACAGCACAACACTAGTTACATTTACTATTCACACTGAGGAGAACAGTCTGGATCTGCGCCCTGATGGCGTGGCAGGAGGCGTGGCAGGTGGCGTGGCAGGAGGCGTGGCAGGAGGCGTGGCAGGAGGCCCCAGTGAGTCCTTTTGTCACGGAGGGTTTATAACGCTGTTGCTCTTTGCAGCTGTGAACAAACGTCTCGACGAGGACGAACACTTTCTATGAGCTTGATCCTCGTGGTCAGACGCCGGCAGTATGTGTGTCACTCTCTCTCCAAACACATGGAAACACCAGGGTCCAGATACACGTGCCATGAAACTACTGTCTACTATTTCCACAGTAACTGCAGCTCCTCTCAGCTCCTCTCAGGTACGGCAGGTGAGTTTGAACTGGCCTCCTGAAGATGAGGGAATAAGTCGTGCAGAGAAAGACGAGCTGCCTCGGTGAGCCCAGCAGGCAGCACGACTTTATCAATAAAACATCGTCCACAGTTTTATTATTAGACCTCAGATCCAGACTCGTGATGGAGGGACGAGGGCAGCAACAGCAGCCGCTCCTCCTCCGCCGGACTATTAAGAGTCTGTGCGTCCAGACGGTCACCTGACTGTCGGTGTGAAGGTGAAATACATTTACATTTATTCATTTAGCTGACGCTTCTATCCAAAGAGACTTACAGCTGCTCTACATGTCAGAGGTCGCACGCCTCAGGAGCAACGAGAGGTAAAGTGTCTCGCTCAGGGACACAGTGGTGGATTGAACACTAGTCTCTCACACCAAAGGCATGTGTCTTATCCACTGCACCATCCCCACCCCAGTCACCAAGGTGACTGACAGGTGACAGGAAACAGGCACAGGTCTGCAGTTTCATCTACACTGGTTAACACTCAGTTTCTTCTGTGTGTGTGTGTTAGAGTGTGTGTGTGTGTGTGTGTCTGAGTGTTAGAGTGTGTGTGTGTGTGTGTGTGTGTGTGTGTGTTAGAGTGTGTGTGTGTGTTAGAGTGTGTGTGTGTGTGTTAGAGTGTGTGTGTGTGTGTGTGTGTGTGTGTTAGAGTGTGTGTGTGTGTGTGTGTGTTAGAGTGTGTGTGTGTGTGTGTGTGTGTGTCTGAGTGTTAGAGTGTGTGTGTGTGTGTGTGTCTGAGTGTGTGTGTGTGTGTGTGTGTGTGTGTGTGTGTCTGAGTGTTAGTGTGTGTTAGTGTGTAGATGCTGTCAGACTATAAATAACCTGCCGTTGTGCTGAGTAAACAGTCCTCCATCAGCCGGAGAGTCCCAGCAGAGCTCTCAGCTCCAATAGCTCAGCAAACAGCATCCGCTCAGATACTACAGGACTACTGTAGGACTACTGCAGGACTACTGCAGGACTACTACTACAGGACTACTGCAGGACTACTACTGTAGGACGACTACTACAGGACTACTGCAGGACTACTGCAGGACTACTACTGTAGGACTACTACAGGACTACTACTGTAGGACTACTGCAGGACTACTGCAGGACTACTGCAGGACTACTACTGTAGGACTAGTGCAGGACTACTACTGTAGGACTACTACAGGACTACTGCAGGACTACTACTGCAGGACTACTACTGCAGGACTACTACTGTAGGACGACTACTACAGGACTACTGCAGGACTACTGCAGGACTACTACTGTAGGACTACTGTAGGACTACTGCAGGACTACTACTGTAGGACTACTACAGGACTACTGCAGGACGACTACTGCAGGACTACTGCAGGACTACTGCAGGACGACTACTGCAGGACTACTACTGTAGGATGACTACTACAGGACTACTGCAGGACTACTACTGTAGGACGACTACTACAGGACTACTGTAGGACTACTGCAGGACTACTGCAGGACGACTACTGCAGGACTACTGCAGGACTACTACTGTAGGACGACTACTACAG